CTCTCCAGGAATCCTTCCCTTATCGATGGTGCACTCATTCGCTAAAATATTTGGGTACTAGTCTCACTTCCTCCTACGGTTCTATATACGATGCCAATTTACCCCCCTTATTTACAGCTATTTCTCGCTCCTTGAAATTTTGGGATACCCTACCCATATCCTTCCTGGGACGCATCAACGTCATAAAAATGACTGTACTGCCCAAACTTCTGTATCTGTTTACAACTCTCCCTTCCTGTTCCTATGTCTAAACTACATTCCCTCCAGAAATCCCTTCTACACTTCATTTGGCATAATAAACGACATAGAATTGCACGTAGTGTACTACTCTCTCTGCGTTCTAGGGGAGGCCTGGGTGCACCGGTTATCGTGACCTATTACTATGCTACTCATCTCTGCTTCCTCACATCATGGTCCTCCTACAACCCTCCCAACCTGTGGACTGAGATCGAGTCCTTACAATTGACTCCGACTCATCCTTGCTCTCTCCTCTGGTCGACCTCGGCGGTGGATCTTGCCCCTATCCGTCGTTATTTCCTTGGCCCTATGCAATTCTCAATGAGTATCTGGCAGAAATGCAAGACTAGGTTTGCGTTGACATCAGATTGCTCCCCACTGACTAATATCCTCTTTAATCCCAATCTTCCAGACAGTTTGGCCGTGTCCCGGGTGCTCCCTTGGGTCACAGCTAACCTCTGCCAAATACGTCATTTAGCACACTCTGTGACTCGGAGGCTGCAACCATTCTCATACCTCCAGAAAAAGTATCTACCTTCCCAACACTTATATATCTATCTCCAGATACGCCACTTTTTCTCTACTATGTCCCCCACATTGACTCTTGGGAAACCAACTCCCTTTGAGCGTCTGTGCATACAAGGTCCACATCAAAGGGGCATAATTTCTAATACATATAAACTTCTTATGGATGCTTCCCCTCTCTCTAATGACACTCACCATTACATGTGCAAGTGGTCCCAGTTTTTACAATGTGACATCGATCTGACGCAGTGGAAGAAAATTTGGGAAAACACATCTAAATCTTGTCTGTGTGGTTTATAAGGAAAATACATACAAAATTATGATGCTGTGGTACAAAACTCCCGATGTAATTCATGCCTTTAACCTGAATTCTTCTTCCGCCTGCTGGCATAGCGGGAAAGACCTTGGCTCCCTCTTCCACATTTTTTGGACTTGTGGATCCATCGTTCCCTTTTGGGAAGAGGTTTTGTCCTTTTTACAATTGCTATTGCATACCTCTCTCCCCTTTGAGCCCCTATACTTTTCATTGAGCCTGCCATTCCCAGGTCTTCCCAAGAGGGCCAGGAAACTCACCACACATATTCTGACAGCGGCTAGAAGAAGCATTCCTATGTGTTGGCTATCCTCTATACCTCCTTCGATGCCAACTCTGTTTAAAATGATTGCTGATGTGAGACAGATGGAATACCTGAATGCTCTACACGCCTGTTTGATTGCTGTGTTCGAGGCAGTGTGGTACCCATGGGATAATTTCACCTCCTCCCAACTTTCTCCAAACGTACGGTTCTGATGGCCTCTCCACTGTTGCTATGTGACATTTTGTTTGTAACTATGCCGATTTTTCCATCGATGTGCTCCCTCTTTTCCTGTGTTCCTTTTTCAATTTACTGCTTGTATATATATATATATATATATATACAGTATATATATAGTATATATATATATATATATATATATATATGTGTGTGAAAACCAATAAAAATTGTTAATAACAAAAGAAAAAAATATATAGCATGGGGTTTCAGGGAGAAGAATGGGAAGACTAGGGGTAAGGGGCTGAAGGTTTAAGGAGGTATGGGGAAGGTTGCAAGTGGGGGTACCCAGCCTGAGCTTTAAAGGGTCAGTCCACCGAAAACTGTTCTATCAGTATATGCTGTAGAGCAGGGGTGGCGGCCCTCCAGCTGTTGCGAAACTACAAGTCCCATCATGCTTGTACCTGTCAATCTTGCAATGCCTCATGGGACTTATAGTTTGGCAACAGCTGGAGGGCAACCAGTTTGACACCCGTGCTGTTACACCCCCTTCTGTATCTAGGTCAGCGGTTCTCAACCTGGGGGTCGCGACCCCTTTGGGGGTCGAACGACCATTTCCCAGGGGTCGCCTAAGACCATCGGAAAACACATATTTCCGATGGTCTTAGGAACCGAGACACCGCTGCTCTGTCTCACGATCTGTGGGCGGGATGATATGCTGCCCCTGTAACCTGGCCACACCTCCGGGATCACTCAACAGCTCCGCCTCCTCGCCGCTGATTGGCCACCGGAACTGTAGCTCAGGAGAGGCACACAGGCGGCCAATCACCGGCGAGGAGGTGGAGCTTGGAGAGGAGGAGCCGAGCGGCAGAGCGCGCAGATCGAAGAAGATCGACGGAGCTGCAGGACCGAGTGAAGAGGAGAGCGGCCAGAGAAGGAAGACAGCTGACAGGTAAGTGCAAATTTTGCTTCTGCAGGCTGTAGATGGGAGAGGGAGAGAGCGAGCCCAGGCTGGAGCAGGGGTCAGCAAGGTAAGTATCATTGGTGTCAGTGGGAGGAATAGTGCCCCATCATTTGTGTCACTAATACCAACGATGGGGCACTATTTCTCCCACACATACACCAACGATGGGGCACTATTCCTCCCCCCACTATTCCTCCCCCCACTGACACCAACGATGGGGCACTATTCCTCCCCCACTGACACCAACGATGGGGCACTATTCCTCCCCCCACTGACACCAACGATGGGGCACTATTCCTCCCACTGACACCAACGATGGGGCACTATTCCTCCCACTGACACCAACAATGGGGCACTATTCCTCCCCCCACTGACACCAACGATGGGGCACTATTCCTCCCCCCACTGACACCAACGATGGGGCACTATCCTCCCCCCACTGACACCCAACGATGGGGCACTATTCCTCCCCCCACTGACACCAACGATGGGGCACTATTCCTCCCCCCATTGACACCAACGATGGGGCACATATTCCTCCCCCCACTGACACCAACGATGGGGCACTATTCCTCCCCCCACTGACACCAATGATAGGCACTATTCCTCCCACTGACACCAATGATGGGGCACTATTCCTCCCACTGATACCAATGATGGGGCACTATTCCTCCCACTGACACCAATAATGGGGCACTATTCCCTCCACACTGACACCAATGATAAGGCACTATTCCTCCCCCCACTGACACCAATGATAGGCACTATTCCTCCCCCCACTGACACCAACGATGGGGCACTATTCCTCCCCCCCACTGACACCCACGATGGGGCACTATTCCTCCCCCCACTGACACCAATGATAGGCACTATTCCTCCCACTGACACCAATGATGGGGCACTATTCCTCCCACTGATACCAATGATGGGGCACTATTCCTCCCACTGCAAAATTACAGTTCTGAAGTAGCAACGAAAATAATTTTATGGTTGGGGGTCACCACAACATGAGGAACTGTATTAAGGGGTCGCGGCGTTAGAAAGGTTGAGAACCACTGATCTAGGTGACTCGGAGTTGCCATTTAGTGGCAGTAAAAAAGTACTGCATGGGAAATCTCTGGATGGAAGGTGAATATGGTAGCAAAAGTTGGTTTTGTTATATTATCTTGTAACGGGCTATTCATTTTTATCTTGTTATTTTTTTTAATGAAGTTCTGCTTTATCACTGTGAAAACTATTTAGGTAGCATGTGGCTTGCTTACTGTATAGGAAGCTCTATCATGCATGTTATTAGAGCTACAGAGAATCATGTACTTCTCAGTGGACCTCGTGTTCCGTTCTGCTGTTATAATTAACACAAAATTCCAGGTTTAGTCAAACAAGGCAAAATAAAAAAGGAAATTAAAGTCAGATTGTAAATATTACTGCTGCCCCCTATTACCCTGCACAGACCCATTGGTGCCGTATGAAAACCATGGGCAAGATAACCATTACTTTCAGCTATGATAGTTCAATCTACTTGGTTTTCTTGAGTTGCAGCAATATTTTTAATGCCTTTTAATTATAACGAGCTGTAAGTATTATGCTAATGAGGTGATAACATCCCATCCATTCTATAACAGCTCTATTAACTAATTGAACGGTTTCCCTAGTAGTCTAAAGGTTAACTCCAGTGTTGATACTGTTAAAAATTGATGGTGCCATCAAGGATAAATATCATTTGCTCCGCAGGCAACGATTACTTATATATTTTTGACTCCTTTATTGCTTTCCTCGGTTTTAATAAACAGCAAACAAAAAATGTATTAGCTCACAGTTTCCATGAGATGTATGATCAATGAGATTTGGGGAATATCACATTCAGCAGCCCAATGTTAATCAAGGGCAATGTTTTTTTATTTTCAGTGATTAAGGGTCATGTCAAAGAAGATGTATACGGTCGATTGTTTTTAGTGTCCTCCTTTGACAGTGATTAAAATCATTGCTGATCAGTTAAATTACCTGTAACAAGTGCTGTTGATGGAATGCTATCATAGTATATTTGCATGAAAAGGTGATGCACGACAGATGCAAATATATTCACGCTGTGATATTATCCACTGAGCAACGTTAACATTGTCTTGCATTTTCTTTTTGCAGACTTTAAAGTGAAATTGTCTACTATTTTAATCTTTTGTAACAAACATTAATGGCTCAGAGCTCAAACTCTAAGTTTTAACTAAAGATAAAACATTTGTTGTGTATTGTGAATGGAATGGATAAAATCCCAGTCCAATAGTTAAAGGTAGTTATAATCAACACAGTCTATTCCAGTTAGCAGTTGGCTGAAGAAAGGACATGCTAAGGCAAGACTCGTTTTTTTCAGAATACAGAAAGTGAAAACATTAAGGTCTACGTTTAGTCACAAAAGCTTTTTTAAAAAAAAAATTAGCAAAAGGGACATTATCTAAAGTGTTACGAAACCCAGGACCCTGCATTCACTATATCTGGTCTCCCCGGACCCTGCATTCACTATATCTGGTCTCCCCGGACCCTGCATTCACTATATCTGGTCTCCCCGGACCCTGCATTCACTATATCTGGTCTCCCCGGACCCTGCATTCACTATATCTGTCCTCCCCGGACCCTGCATTCACTATATCTGGTCTCCCCCCAGGACCCTGCATTCACTATATCTGGTCTCCCCGGACCCTGCATTCACTATATCTGGTCTCCCCGGACCCTGCATTCACTATATCTGGTCTCCCCGGACCCTGCATTCACTATATCTGGTCTCCCCGGACCCTGCATTCACTATATCTGGTCTCCCCGGACCCTGCATTCACTATATCTGTCCTCCCCGGACCCTGCATTCACTATATCTGGTCTCCCCGGACCCTGCATTCACTATATCTGGTCTCCCCGGACCCTGCATTCACTATATCCGGTCTCCGCGAACCCTGGGTTCACTGTATCTGGTCTCCACGAACCCTGCATTCACTATATCCGGTCTCCCCGGACCCTGCATTCACTATATTTGGTTTCCCCGGACCCTGCATTCACTATATCTGGTCTCCCCGGACCCTGCATTCACTATATTTGGTTTCCCCGGACCCTGCATTCACTATATCCGGTCTCCCTGGACCCTGCATTCACTATATCCGGTCTCCCCATACCCTGCATTCACTATATTTGGTTTCCCCGGACCCTGCATTCACTTAGCACTTATCCAGTCTCCCCGGACCCTGCATTCACTATATCTGGTCTCTCACAGTACACACAACATGGAAATGCAATTATTTTATTAAATATAAACTGCTAAATACCTTTTCTCATCAGTAGTTAGATTAGTCTTGTGACTTCAGTGTTCAGTTGAGCACTGGCTTGTAGTAGGAGTTTTCATTTTGCTCTAGGAGGATGCAGAACCCCTTACCTCTGTCTGGACAGTACTGATTGGCCCTGTGCTGATCACATGCACTCTCCCAAGAAAAAAAAAATACTCTCTAGCAATACACACCAAACTGAGCATGTACAGAGTGACTCCACACAATATGACTTATTAGGACATAAAAGGGGGACACTAGAAGAAGGGGAGGATCAGGATTATTACTATTATTATACAGGATTTATATAGCGCCAACGGTTTGTGCAGCGGTTTACAATATAAAGGGAGACAGAATAATTACAATACATTTCAATACAATTCAATATATAGGAGGTCCCTGCTCATGGAGCTTACAATCTAAAGGAAGGGGGAGGTGGCAAAAAAAGGTGATGATCTGATGGAGGTGGATCAAGTACAGTTCTTAGGTGGAGGCGGAGTAGGCTTCCCTGAATAAGTGAGGTTTCAAAAATCGCCTAAAGGCGGACAAGGTGGGGGGCTGACCGGACATACTGCGGTAAGGAGTTCCAGAGGATGGGAGAGGCTCTGGAGAAGTATTGGAGGCAAGCGTGGGAGGAGATGATGAGGGAGCTAAAGAGTAAGATGTTTTGGGAGGAGCGGAACGAGCAATTTGGACGATATCTGTGGATGAGGTTGGCAATGTAGCTAGGGGCAGTGTTGTGGATGGTTTTGTATGCTGTGGTTAGTATTTTGAATTTTATACGTTGATGGAAGTGGAAGCCAGTGGAAGCCATTGAAGGAAATGGAAGAGAGGGGCAGCAGTCGCTGATCGATTGGTAAGGTGTATGAGTCTAGCAGCATTCATAACAGACTGAAGAGGGGATAACCTGTGTAAGGGTAGACCAGTGAGGAAGGAGTTGAATAACCCTTTAGGCTCCACAGTGAGTATAACAAGGTACCCAAAGTGATCGATTCATCAACTTGGGTACAACCAGCCTGTTGGATTTTACATGCAATAATTGCTAGAAGTTATTATAGCCCCTAGCAGTAATCACTGTGTTCTCCAGGCAGGAATGTTTCCCTACCCGGGAGAAACACAATGGCTCCATGGGATGGATTCCCTCATCAACACTGATGATGATGATAGGGGAATTGAGCTATTTTCTTTCCTGCAACCCATGGTTGCAGGAAAGACAATCATTCCTTCTATGGCCGATTTTACAGTCAAAGAAGGGTCTTTTTTGCCTCTGGCTGGGTTTTTTTTTTTGAACAATATACTTTATTGGAGTTTTCAAAACAAAGGTTACAGAGTAAATATTAAAATGTTTTTCTTTCCTGAAATCAGTAGGAAAAATCAGACATTAAACATATCTGTGAGTTATAAACAGCATTGCAATATCAGAATCTGTGTCATGAAGAGTATCCTTTATGAGAATAACAGTAGTAATAAAATTAAATTGTACAGTATAGTGAAATTGCATAAATTGCATCAATCTGCAAGGATTCTCTAACAATGTAACCATAAGCAGTTGTGTTTTGAGCTTGTTAGGTTAGATACTATTAATAGGTAACCCATATACAAGGATACATATTGAACAACATTATCAGAGTGAGTGTAAATACTTGAAGATAGGGTGAACTTTAATACGCCTAATCAGCCAGTGGTCAGCCTGTCATAGTCGACAGACAATTGGAAAAGGTACCAAGCAGTCCATTTCTTATGAAATTGTTCCGATTTTTCATGCGTAATTGCTAGGGTTTCCTCAACGTCATGAATATTATCAACCATATGTATCCATTCCCTGATTGTGGGTTCGGTAGGCGATTTCCAATGTCTGGGAACAAAAGACATGGCTGCATTTAATAAGTGTTTGGTTAAAGTATGTTTGTACTTGCTAAATGAGTAATCTGAGATGTGCAACAACATTCAGAAGTCAAAATCAGTTGTGTTTCAGTAATACGGTGTCTCAAGGTAGTCACATTTATCCAGAAATGTGCAATTCAGGGGCAGAGCCAAGAGATATGTAACATGGCTCCTTTGTCTGACAACGCCAACATAGGTCAAAGCACTTTGGGAACCACGATTTTACTTCCCCAAGGTGTGGTATACCATTGATTTAGAATTTTATAAGAGGTTTCCTACAGGTGTGTGCTTATTGAGCATTTGTGTGCTTAGATACATGCTTTTTACCATTGTGTATCAGAAAACTGGGTATGCAAGCATGACTCCCACAGTACCCGGAACCTGCTGGGATCATCTGCATGAGAGAGTTGCAGCCAAACGTACATCTGAGAGGTCACTCTCTCAGTAGGCTCTTCCTTTAAACATAATGTATCAATTGGTGTGGGCGCGTACAAAAAAAACTCATTTCTGGAGATGTGTAGTAGATAAGTAGTAGTAGTAGATTTGTCGGTATGTCAAAAAAGACAAACCAGCCAATTTAAGGTCACTCACCAATCTGCTATATGGTACCACTCGCCTTGCATGCACACAATGCATGGCAAGTAAAAGTGATCTATCTGAATTAGAGGGTATTGCTCTGGAGTCAAGTCCAGGGGGGAAGTCTGAATTGTTAGCTAAAGGCGTAAGTTAGCTAAAGGCTATTTCAAAATCGATGTCTTGTGTGACGCCCAATGAAACGCCGCCAGAGATGCCCCTATCAGGGGATGGGACTTAAGATCCGCTAGACAAGCAGATCGCTGGATCCAAGGCAGATAACATAGCAGGATTTTAGAGAACGTTTCTTCTAAGTTTATCCAGTCCTTGTTAGTGCCATGGCAATGCCAATCTACAATCCTTGTCAAATGTGCTGCGCAGTAATAATATCTAAAATTGGGGAATCTCAGCCCTCCTCTAGTTTTGGGAGCCACCAGATATGGGAGGCTAATTCTAGGTTTACTGTCTGCCCAGATAAATTTTCAAACCATCATTGTCAGGCATTTGAAAAAAACTTGAAGGAATCTTTATCGGCACGGTCTGAAACTGATAAAGAATTCTTGGGAGAACGATCATCTTAATTATAGCGGCACGCCAAAACCAGAAAAAACAGTTAAGGTTCCATGAGGAGAGGTCTCTATCACTTTTTTTCAAAAGAGGCAAAAAATTGACTTAGTAAATACCACTCACATTGGGAGTCAGCCAAACCCCCAAATATGTTAGTGCAGTACAAACCCCATTTGAATGAGTTGTTTTGTTGAGCCATTGTGAGGGAGTTGGGGGGAAGGGTTATGTTTAAATATTCTAACTTTTTATAATTGATTTTTAGATTGGAGACATATCCATAACGAGCAAATGCATGCAGCAGGTTAGGGATAGAAGTGTGCGGTTGTGTTAGAAAAAATAATAGATCATCAGTGTAGGCTGCTATTTTATATTCCCTATGTCCTATCTGGCAGGGGCGGACTGACAACTCATGGGACCCCCCGGGCAATAGGGGATCATGGGGCCCCTGTGTCCTTGCCCAAACTCAAAAAAGCCTATGAAAAAGGTACCAGGGGCATCTCATGGGGCCCCCTACTAACCCAGGGCCCTCGGGCAGTGCCCGAGTTCCCCTGCTATCTGGTACCCTGCAATCTCTTGCATTTGTTTTATAGTGCAGATAAAGGGTTCTAGGGATATAATAAATAGTAAGCGTGACAATGGGCAACCTTGTCCTGTGCCATTTTTAATCTGCACTGGAGTGGACAAAGTCCCATTGATTTTGATATGTGCTGATGGATCTTGGTGTAAGGAGGCTATCCACACCAGCATATTAGGTTTCAGTCCTATATGCCTACATGTAGCAAATAAATAATCCCACGCCACTTTATCAAAGGCCTTCTCTGCATCAGTAGACAGGAGAAGGCCTTCAATCCTGCCTGCATGAGCACCATGAATCAAATTTAATGCCTTGATAACATTACCTCTAGCCCCCCTACCCGGCATGAACCCGACCTGTTCTGGACCAATGAGTGAAGTCAGATAAGGCTGCAGTCGGTTAGCTAGCATTTTTGCCAGGATTTTCAAGTCCACATTTAGCAATTAAATTAGCCGGTAATTAGCACAGTCAGTGGGATCCTTCTCAGGTTTGGGGATGACAGAAATATCTGCTGTCAGAAAATGATCAAGACAGACTTGTGGCTCCTGTAGCCTCCCTAGCGGTCTGATTATGTCCATATTTCTGTGCTCAAACCGGTACTTTTTTTGCATGGAAATATGTATTTTTTTTATTGTAGGCCTGTAATTTTTAGGAATAACTCACTGAAATCTGTCCGAACAAGAATCTAGTAAACATCCCGGGTATGTTAAAATTTGAAACACAAAATCGTAAATTATAATTTAATAAATAATCATAAAAAAAATAATAATATAATAATAATAAATTTAATTAAATAATATAATCAAACCAGAAACACTGAAATTTGAAATATAGCGCCAAGTTCGCACATCATTGAGCAAAGTCGCAGAATTGTTTTCAGTGTCTGATGACGAATTTCCCCACGAATCATTATCACTCAATTCTGCAAGTGGTTCTAATTTACTATCGCTGTTCTCTAGCTGGTCTAAAACTGCTTTTGACCTAAAGGGACGCTTTTTGGATGCCATGGACGTTTCTCAGTTTCCATGCAGAAAGAACAGTAAAAATGCAGGCAGGGCACAGGACAAAGCACTCGGGACAAAATGTATGTGAAATGGTTTGATACAGGAATGTTATACTGTGTGATTTTAGTGTATTTAGTGAATGTCACTTTTACAACTTTCAAATTTTCCGCCAGTTCCATTCCCCGTACATCCCGACGTCGCAGGGAACGGAACCCAAAAGACAGATGCCGGCATCCGCAGGAGGACATTGCCCGGGGACACTGCAGGAGGGACATCGCGGGAGCGCAGGACAAGGTAAGTGCAGAAGGGATCCCGGAGCAACGCTGCATGGTATTCCCAAGTGTAGCTCGGGGTTAACGCTTGTGGTGCTGAAACTTTACCCCGAACTACACTCAG